AAAGTCCCGACCAACGAAGTAATTCACCAGTCCATAAGGTGTCCAGATATGACTAACAACGATACTAAGTATGAGGCCACAATTGCAGGTTTGCGGCTAGCACTAAAGTATGGGGCAAAACGGTTTAAACTACGCTGTGATTCCCAACTCGTAGTCAACCAAGTCATAGGGATTTTCCAAATGAAGGAACAAAGATTTCAAAAGTATGAGACCGAAATTTGCAAGTTACTTCCCGAATTCGACGAATGTCAACTTGAACAAATTCCACGAGCACAGAACGATGAGGCAGACGACCTCGCTAAGCTAGTCGCAGCCACCAAAAACATTACAACCGGAGACAGAAGCGTGGTCCACCTCCTCAACTCATCGCTAGACCAAGTCGAGGTAAAAACCATAAACTTAACTTGGGACTAGCTCAATCATATTATTACATACTTGCAGGATGACATACTCCCAGATGATTAAAAAGAGGCAAAGAAACTGAGAATGCAAGCGGCCAGATACAGTATCATCCCCAACGACCTGTATAAGAGAACTTACGGCAGCCCTCTAGAAAAATGCTTGGGGCCCAAACCAAACTCGATGCGTCCTTAAAGAGGTCCACTGCGGAGCTCCCTTCGGCAACCGGGCTCTAATTAGATGCCTCATACAGGCAGGATACTACTAGCCCACCATGAAAAAGGAGACCATAGATTTTGTAAAAAGCTGTGAGCAATGTCAAAAATACGCCCTAATGATTCACCAGGCGGGCGATCACCTCCACTCGGTCACCTCACCTTGGTGTTCATCAAATGGGGAATGGACATCGTGGGCCCCCTCCCATCAGGACGGGGTAACGTACGATTCCTTTTGGTTTTAACTGACTACTTTTCTAAGTGGGTAGAAGCAGGAGCATTCGCCTAAATACAGAAACATGAAGTAAACACCTTTATATGAAAGAACATCATATACCGGTTCGGCCTCCCCAAAGAGATCAACTGCATCAATGGATCCCAATTCACGGGAAAGAAAACCGCCGAGTTATTTGAGAAATGACAAATCAAAAGGATACTCTCGATGCCATACCACCCACAAGCAACGGGCAAGCGAAGTCCTCCAACAAGTCGATACTGAACATCATGAAGAAAAAGCTTGAAGACACCAAGGGACTCTGGTCGAAAATATTACCAGAAGTACTATGGGCTTATCAAACAACTACGAAAATGAGCACATGAGAGACACCCTACTCTTTGGTCTATGGGCCGAAGCAGTAATACCAGTCGAGGTCGGTGAACCCAATCTAAGGTACTCCCATGAGAGTGGCACAATCAATGATGATGGCCGAAGACATGAACTCAACGAAGTCGACGAACGAAGAGATATGGCTTATATAAGAATGATCGCCCAAAAATAGCAAGCAGAGCGTTATTATAACAAGAAATCAAAGGTCAGGCCGCTCAAACTCGGAGACTACATATCAAAATCTAAAACCACAGCAAGCAATGATCCTATGGAAGGTAAGCTGGGAACAAATTGGGACGGTCCGTACAAAATCACAGCAAAAGCAAATAAAGGATCATTTCAGCTAGAAACAATTGAAGAAAAGCTACTACCAAACAACTGGAATATCAGCCACCTCAAGTACTTCAACTTCTAAAGGAATGAGTTCCCCCCAAGTCGTACTCTTTTTTCCCTTACTTGAGTTTTGTCCCAATTGAGTTTTCTCAAGAGGGTTTTTAACGAGACGACGAAGGGAACACCTCAAGTCGAAGTACGTAAAGGCAAGGCTCTGATTTCTATTTCATTGCTCGACCTATCACTACTCTCCAGATCGACCAATGAAGGGACTAGGTAAATGGGGACTAGGACTGGAACGCCAGCTAACACCCAAAGTCTGTAGATTTCTCCAGGTATGTAACAAATGCAACAATGTAAAGGCAATAAACTTTACACTTACCAACGCATTTCTCTCAAAGTTAGGTTATGTTTGACCTCGCTCGAACTAATACCTACCGGCCATAAATAATTTAGGTTATGTTCGACCTCGCTCGAGCTAACACCTATCGGCCCTTGGCCATAATTAATTTAGGTTATGTTCGACCTCGCTCGAGCTAACACCTATCGGCCCTTGGCCATAATTAAGTTAGGTTATGTTCGACATCGCTCGAACTAACACCTATCGGCCCTTGGCCATAATTAATTTAGGTTATGTTCGACCTCACTCGAGCTAGTACCTACCGGCTCTCAGCCATAATTAAGTTAGGTTATGTTCGACCTCGCACGAGCTAACACTTACCCATCCCCAGCCATAATTAAGTTAGGTTATGTTCGACCTCGCTCGAACCAACACCTACCGACCCTCGGTTATAATTAAAGTTAGGTTATGTTCGACCTCGCTCTAACTTACTCCTACCGGCCCTCAGCCATAACTAAACTGAGGATGTATTCAACCTCACTCGAACTAAAATTTACCGGCCCTCGGCCGCAACTAAGTTCAAATATGTTTGATCTCGCTCGAACAAGAAACACAAGCAAAAAACACACAAATATAGAAAAACTAACCACAAAAAGGAAACAGAAGCAGAAACACAATATGAGAATTCCATATTCATACTTAAACATTTTTTACAAAGGCTCGTGAAGACGCCTACAAAAATACACAAGCTTACAACAAAATAAAAAAAAAGGAGAAAAATTATTGGTCGTTACCATCGGGGCCTTCAACACCATCGCCCTTACCACCTGGGCCGTCTAAATCTACCCCTTCATCATTACCATTGCCCTTAGGGTATGAAACATCATACCAAGCGTTCTCTTCAAGCTGGTCCACGCCCCGTCCCCCTCATTGTCACCAGCCTTAGGCGTGGCGGGCCTTAACACGAACATCCTCAAGGGCGGCCGTAGAAACAGATCCCACCTTATACAAATTGCAGAACACATCCAATTGAGTTTCAACATGAGTCCATTCCTCATACAGGTCCCAGGGAACATATGGGAAATTGAAGTGCGAGAGGATGACGATTGCGCGAGCAGATGAGCCTTTTCAACCTCTAAGGCAGCCACCCGGTCCTGGCAGAGGGAGTTGTCTTTTTCCAGCTCTCCTCTCCTCCAATATATCTTCTTTTGCCTTCGTCGTAGATAGGTCAATTTCCCGCTCGGCCAAGAGTCTTATTTGCCAGCTCTAACATCTCCGACTTTCTCCGAGCCTCCAGACGGGAAGACTCCGCCTTCTCAAGCTCGTTTTGTTTCTTGGAGACCTCGCCACGAAGGACCTCCATCTGTAGGCGACACTCTTCCAATTGCCTACGCAACTCGATCACTTGCGTTTAGAGGTCAACATTGGGTATCTACGGTTCTGCTGACCTCGAGCTCTTCCTCCTTACTTCTCAACGTCCCCTCAAGGACACTGCACTTCTCAATGACTCTCACCAGCTCGTCATCCTTCTCCTTCAATTAATCGCGAAGTGTCTGCAAATTGTCGCTCTCACCAAACCGCTTGCGAAACTATCAGTTGTTGCCGCGGTACTTAAAATATTTGCGTTACAACCTCGCAAATATTGCCTTACATATCTCCTCCCTTCGGACGATTTCAATCTCCAACATCATGGTCTGCATTCATAAAAAGAAAGAAAATCACTAAGATACAAACATTATCTTTTCATCAAGATTATTGTTCATATTATTCCATACTTTTCCATCAGATCCGAGAATAATTCGAACATTCTACGATTTGTCTGTCACTCGTCATTGTCGGGAAAGACAATCATCTAGTTCATCTTTTATTGGGTGAATCACTTCTCCTATTTACTTAAATGTCATTTACTGTTATTTATTACTATTTATTGATACATTATTGCTTATACTTTTCGGAATAGTTAATACACGTTGTTATCAATCTACCACCAGATCTGTTTAACATTAGTCACTCTTTCGAAACTCACATCTAAAAATATTATTATTAATTAGGTTTAATCTATTATCGTACAAATTCAATTATTTTAACCAAAAGTTGCATTTGTTTTGTCAAACAATAACCTAACTAATTGTAGTGTCTTATACGTAATCTGTTAGCTCATTTTACGGGAATTTCCAGAAGTTTATGTAGTTACAAATTAAAATACGTTGACTGAGAGGAAAGAGATTTTGGTTATTAAATGAAAACCCCCATAGCTACTTTCTAAAGGAAATTATTTGCGTTAGGCGCCGCCATTATGCATGCTTTCGTTACTTTTTAAGTAGTGCTATCTTTTCTTCTTCTTTCCGAACATAGTATGTGGCAGATAAATAGAGGCTGCTTTTTGAGTTGTGGAAGAACCGTAAATTCCCCAAAGAAGAAAGAGACTTGCCCACAGTCAAGTGGAAACTAGAAAGAGACACACATGTGGCCTTGTCTTTGCCATCAATTTTTTTTTTAATTCTCGTGGTCGAATGTTCGATATCTGCCATAAAACTTGACTAAATCTAAATTTGTACCAAAAAATTTCACATTGAATGGTAAGACATACTCTAACAAAGTCTACTTCATATTGGAAATATGAACTCAAGACCTTTGGTTAAAAATAATAGAAATACTTACGAGTCTACTACAATCCTTGTTGGTATCTTTGCTAATAATTCTTCCCATCCCAATATACACACAGTCAGAAAAAATATTTACACACTACAAAAATAACAGCATTTAGCGACAAACCATATTCCATAGCTAAATAACGACGGATTAGCGACAGATTTTATTGTTTGTCGCCAAATAAGCTACAAAAGAATTAGTATCAAATATAGCGGTGGATTAGCGACAAAAATTTACACCTGTCGCTAAAAATGGGCGCCTTTATTTACCTACAAAATTAGCAACGAAAGTGGGGCGACAAAAATTATTAAAATATAGCGACGGATTTAACGACAAAAAACTTTGTCGCTGCCTTTATTTTACTTTATCAAAACATTCCAAATTTAATTGCGACGGAAATTCCGTCGCAAGATTCGTAAAAACAATTTTGCCCAAGTTATTATTAGCGACAGAATTATTTTCGTAGCGATTTCCGTCGTTGTGTCTTTTTAAAATTAAAGTTTATCTAGGGCACAAATCTGCTTACAGACTCACATTCTCTCTCTCTATCAAACTCGCCCACTTTCTATCATCTTCAATAATGTGAGATTCTTGCTTCCAATACAACAAATTGGGCGTGAATCTAAGGCTCATATACAATGGGAACATAGATATCCAATGGAGAATAGAAGAAATTTCGAAATTGGGCAAAAGTTTTTGCTTTATAACTTCTGAAATTGCCGAGAAATTCAAATTAACATGCATTCCTGATAACTTTTTCTAATTTCGCTGGCTCATAGCTATTCCGTTTTGTTTTAACACGCCATCAAATGGGTTTGACTAATTTCTTCAAATGAGTCTTTTGGTGAGTTCAAGATTACTTTTTTCCAATGTCTTTTGATTTTATATACACTTTTTAGTTCTACCACTTGTACAGAATTTGATAGCTGCTTTGAATACTGCTTTAACCTTCTGGATCTAGTATTCTCTTTGCTAATCTTTTGATTTGGACGATTACATAGTAGACCCCAACTATTTTAGGATTAAGTTGTAGTTGTTGTATGGATGTGTTGGAATACTTTTTGGTTCTAGCAATTTTGTTGAATTTGACAGCAGCTTATTTATTTTTAACGATGCTTTTTTTTTATAAGGTAATAATGCCGCTTTAATCTTCTAGATCTGGTATTTTGTTTGTTAATTTAGATCTTAGTTCAATTCTAAGTTAGATTTAGGCTATGTGATATATAGCAGGTAAATTTATACTTCCTCCTATTTTCTTGATTTGGCTCCACCGGTCCTGTAAGTTTGCTTCAATTTTATATTTTTCAGTTGTTATGATATTAACAAAATTAATCCGTAAATTAATTAACTATGTCAATCCTCTATTTGTTTTTTTAATTTCTGAGTATGCTCATAGTATAGAGTGTTAAAAGGTGCTATATATTATCGCGTTATTATTTGAGCTTCTATTTATGGCTTATGTTTAGTTATTTTTTGTTATAATCTTTTATTGTTCTGATTATTTTAGATTAAATTGATATGCTTTTCATGCTTCAATGGCTTGTTGATACACAGTTATTCTAGTCTCTTTCAAGTTAGATATTGTATCTGAAATTATTATGCTTTATCTCATAAACATGATGAGATTGAATGCAACTTTTTTGAAATATTCCTTTAGGATTTTTCAGTGGAAGTGAAAGACGGATTCACACTTTGAAGTTCTTTGTTAGCTATCTCGACGGTATTTCTACAATAAGTACTATTATTAAATGATGGTTAAAATTCATAAATAAATATATTGTTGTTCTGTCTCACTTTTCAGGCCATTACTTCATCTCGTGTGAAGAAAGGCGAGTTCCTTTTAGTTGATGTAAACACTCAGCTGAAGAACAAAAACTTCACAACTGATTGTTTCCTGAAGAAATGCGAGTTCCTTACCGTTTATTTCTCTTTGCTCTTATTCAGATTGTTTCATGTTCTGTTATAGTGATGTTCATGTCTGAAAGCTATGTCCTTTCCTTTTAAAATTAAACAGGAGGAAACTTTAGGACTCAAGTTTTTACTATGCTTCAAGATTATATGCAATTTTTTAAATTAAGAGAAGGGGACATGTAGCCATAAACTACTTGTAATAATATCTAGCAGATTGACTTTGCATAGAAAGAAAGTGATTGAATCTATTGTTTGCTAATATTAGATGAATAATACAATTATATATGCATTGTATCATATCCTTCTTTATTTTTATACTAGTCTCTACGAATATGCGTTGCACGTTATTCCCTATCAATCATCACAAAAGAAAAATGTTAGGTAATATTACTGTAATTACATTATATTTGTTTTATGAGGTACAAGGATGTTATTAGATACTAATTTTCAATAATGAGGTAAAATAATATTATTGAAAAAAAAAAAATTATCCCTAATTTTATAGTAACACAAACTTTTCAATAGTGAGTAATACCTACTCCTTACAAAACATTAAGTGTGGAGAGTCTTTAATTTACATGGAAGTTCAAGAAACAAATTAAAATATTCTTTCTAGGTGCTTCCTTAAACTAACAAGATTTTGAAGGTGGGAACTTGTTTAGTGTTTAGTTTCTCTGTTCTACTTAAGTTGCTTCATTTTCTCTATGTTATTTTTCAATATCATTTTTTTACAAACGTCTTTTTGCCAATCTTTTGAATTGAATACACATGATAATGATATAAAATCTTTTATTGGTGAGAAATCCCGAATTGTACATGTAAGTCAACTTTTTAAATAATTTTATTGACTTTACTTTTATATCTTTTTTTATTTTGTAAATTGAATACTCAATAATCTTTAATGTTTTAATTTCACTAATTATTAACTCTTCTACAGAAAAAATATCAGAAAATATTACAACAACAAATACAGAGTCAATCTGATATTGACCAGTGTAAATTATATTACGAAGTTGCGGGAGGAGAAAAGAAACGAAGAGTATATGATCTTGGATCTCAAGCAAAATGCTACTACGGGCCGAATCTTCATGACTCTTTTGGATCTGATGAAACATCCTCAACAACACCTTCAAATGCTCAATCAACACCGATAGGAAATATGGATGAGTTAGTGACACGGATGATTCATGTACTGACAGATCATATAGTTCGTGTAATCGTTGAGCGGGTATGCGAATTAGTTTCTTTACCATCGCATCAGCCAAATATTGATCTTACCAACCACCCATCAGATGTGGCACCTACAGTTCCTACTTCTTCTGTTGCTGCTAACATAAATGAGGTTCATGCATTGGGTTCTGACGATGACCATGACTCTCTGGCCTCGCATAGTTAGCCTATTTTGTTTAGACTTTATTGTTGGTTCTTGTGGATGCTTTGTACTTAACGATACAATTATATGCATTATGCTATATATTTTGGACCTTGTTGAATGTTAATTTATATTAATATCAGTCACTTTTAATTAAGTGTATTTAATAGCATTTATGCAATATGCTTGAACAAGGTATATTTAAAATAATAAATAAATAAAAAATCTAAAAAAATAGCGACAAATATTTTTCGTAGCTAAAATTAACGCATTAAATTAAATATTGCGACGGATTGGCGACAAAAGATTTTTATCGCTGAAACCAGGAAGAACTAGTGACAGATTCTATCGTTGCTAATAAGAATAAACGACGAATTTTGTTATGAATTGTAGCGACAAAATTAGTCAAAATAGTGATGTAACCAAGCAAAATAACGACAGATTTTTCGGTCGCTAAACGTTGCTACAGATATATTGTGTCGCTAATCCGTCGCTAGATCTGCGACGATTTGTGTATTTTTCGTCGCTATGAGCTTAGCTACGAGCATTTTAGAGACCAACTTGAATTTGTCGCTAATTCGTCGCTAAACTGTGTTAGCGACGGAAATAACATGTATAGCAACGGAATACGTCCGTCGCTAAACATTTTTTTTTTTGTAGTGACACTATCAGGTCACTTCAAAAATATTTATAAAATTAAGTAAACCTAGTGGAAGACAAATAGCCTTTTACAATAGATTAAGTTATAATAATAGTGTAAATATCTTAATTTGTTTACATCTCATGTGTGGCTATTGCACTCTAAGAAGGTCACACATTAGCCATTGCGCCCCCGAAAGGATAGCGACCGTGAATTTTCCTAAAAATTTTCCAAAAGAAAATAAATAGTGCAAATACCTTTATATTGTCGGTGAATAAAATTAAATCCGTATTTGAGCTCATTAATAAAATTTTCTTGTCCATGAGCTATTTAATCACGAAAAGAAGTGCTAGTCCTTATTCTCTTTTCTTAATTTTCTTTTGCCCAAATCTAGCATGAATGAGAATTCCATAATCGTGGTGATAAGTTACTGTCAGAATTTCTAAAGAACGGTATTCGTAAATTCTGCACTTATATTCTTTTTGAATATACACTCAAATAACTCTTCATTTCAACCTTTTTCTCGATCAAAACTACGGTGAAAGGGACGCTCTCGTTTTAATCGCTCTAGCGCATATGTTGAATAGTTATTTATGCGTTCATCTATCTTTCACGAGCAGTCGTGTAGTTTTCTGAGAGAATGACCCTTAAAATTATGCTATTAATTTAAATTTTTTAAAGTTATACGAGTAAAATGCCCTCTTAATTTTCACATATATCTTTCGTTTTCATGAAGAATTCCTTCATGAATCTTCTTGGTTTGTAAATCCGCGTGACTAATGTGAAAAAAAAATTAAACACATGAAGTCACATAATCATTTTAAGTTATTGAGTTATATGTTAATAATTTATATATATTTAATAAATTTTTTAAAATAAATATTAAATTTTGATCGAAATTGTTGAGTTCAAATAAATCCGTAATTCACTCTCTAGCTCCGCACTTAATTGAATTCAAGATTGTTTTTGTGAGCAAGTGGACGAAGTTGCATGAAGCTTACAAAACAAATTAAAGCTGCTGCTATTTGAAACCTAGCTAGCACACAAAATTGTACTCATATATACTATTGTTTGAAAGGACAGTACTTAAAGTATTTTGTTGCAGCCGTCCCAGTAACTTTCGAACGTTTTCCAAAGTTGATAGAAAGTGTATTATTGAGGGAAAATGCTTACTTTCTACAACACAACACTACGCGTGTCTTTTGGTTTCTAATTTTTTGATGTTTTGTTGTCTTAAATATTTTAAAAAATATTTTTTTTATGAATTTATTTTTTTTAATTGGAAAAAAATATTTTCCCTATCAAAAGAAGGAAAAATATTTTCCCTATTCCCCATCCTCACCGACCCATCCCCAAACCACCCCTACCTCCACCATACCAAACCCATCCCAACCGCGCCCACCATCCACCCTAAATAGAACTATTATTAAGAGTACCCTTTTTTATGTCGTAGATAGAATATTTTGTTTTATTTCAACAAAATGAGTATATTCTTTTCTTGATGTAATAAAAGTATTTTCTTTAATTTCAACAAAACCAGTACTTTCTTTTCATGATGTATAAAAAATATTTTCTTTCATTTCAACAAACTAAGTATTTTCTTTTATGAAATAGAAAAAAAGTATTTTTTCCAACAGAATGAGTACTTTCTTTTCATGATGTAGAAAAAATATTTTCTTTCATTTCAACAAATTGAGTATTTTTAATTCATGATCTAGAAAGTATTTTCTTTCATTTAAATAAACTAAGTATTTTCTTTTCCTGAAATAGAAAAAAAAAATTCCAACAAAATAAATATATTTTTTTACATGATGTAGAAAAAGTATTTTCTTTTATTTTTTTTCCTCATGATGTAGAAAAAGTATTTTCTTTCATTAAACAGAATGAGTAATTTCTTTTCATGTTGTAGAAATGTACTTTCTTTTTCAACAAAATAAAGTATTCCTTTTAAGTTATGAGGCTCGAATTTTAATGTTGTTTTTGTGTGAAAAAGTAAAGTAACACATTTGTTCCTTTGGGTATGTGTGAATTTTGAAACGAATAATTAAATTATTAAAGAAAATAGAATCGGGGAGGGGGGAGTATAGGAAACATGGGAATTTTGGGGAATGTGGATTGAGGAGAGTAGCATAAAAGTTTTTTTTTCCTAAAATTATTTTATACTCTCTAACCAAACACTAGAAAATATTTTCCGGAAAAAGTTTTTAACTAACCTACCAAATAAGAGAAAATAAGTGATAAAATCACTCATTTTTCAGAAAAATATTTTCTAGGATTCTTCATACCAAATACAGCCTAGGTGTTAATTTATCATGGTTAGGTAATAAACTTGAAGAAAGAATATGTAGTTATCTATGATTAAGTGATGACAATGTTAATGTATGTAAAGACGCATGACATATATTCATCAGATTAGCGTAAACGTCTTGCACGTGTGAGGTTTTTCATGTAATTGCAATAAAGTTCCAAAGAGTTTAAAAGGTTTTTCAAATAATATCCTAAGCCGACTCGTCCATATTTTTCATCTATTTTTTTAAATAGTCGAGCCTTGGTATAACTATTTAAGTTGTTGTCACCTGAACGAGAGGTCAAGGGTTCGAGTCGTGGAAACAGCCTCTTGCAAAAATGCTAGGTTGCATACAATATACCCCTGTGAATCTGGCCTTTCTCCGGAGCTCGCGCATAGCGGAAACTTAGTGCACCGGCTGCCCTTATTTTTTTCAAATAGTCCTAATTTGAGTATTACGATGAAATACAATATGTTTAGCAAAATGAATATGGCGGACTTAAATATAGCCAATCCTAATTAATTTTTGATTAAGACATAAGTGTTGATGTTGCTGCTGATTAATATGATAATTTTCTTCTGAAAGGTGCTTTTATCACTCCTCCTATAAAGTTTCATTAGCCATCATTTTCAAAATACACTTGTTTGGAATGTATTAAAATGATATTTCCAATAAGATTTCTTCTATTTTGTTTCTTTATTTTATTTTTCTCTGCCGTATAAGACAGCCCTGTTTCTTTTTCCTCATTCATTTTCTTCTCTTTTTTTCCCCTCCCCTTTTCCCCCAAAACATGCTCGATAATTTTATATTTATACCGTCCTTTTCCAAGGTGCACCTAATATGCGATATTTCACATTTTTATACCTCATGATCCGTACCCATACTCAAAACTTTAATTAAGTGTTAAATCGTCAAATAAAGTTAGTTATTGGTGCTGTTGATGATCTACGAGGACCAAACAAATGACAATTTATATTTTATCTTTCTACCGTAAATTACTCAATCAAAGCGTGATATGAACAATTAAAATCTAATTAATTGAGTCCTCTTTTGGAAGATAATGGTCAAGGATTGGTACCTAACATCTTTAAATTTAGTTCACCTTTCTTCTTCAACATTTATCTCAGTGGTCCTTTTTTTTTCTAAAAAGAAATCAGGGGTCAATTTTTTATAAATTCTTGAATAAGAACACCCATGTATTACTCCTTGTCATGTTCAATATTGCTAAAACTATAATAGCAGTTAGTTACTAATATAGTTATATAGCCACACGAAATGATATGAAAATGGAAGAATAAAATGTGAAACATAGACTACAATATATAGGATATGGTTGGAGGCAGAATTTTTATAACTAAAAGTTATTGACTAACTAACCAATTAAGTGATCAACCTTAGATTATTGCATAAAAAGCTCATACAATTTCCCTTAACCAATGATAGCAGCTCACGTATACCATTTCATCATTGCTGCTGTCTAAATTATCTATCCTACTTCAACATGATTGGTCATATAGTAAACTATTGATTCCAAGTGATCTTCTCGTTCATTTTCAAAATAAAAAAACTTGTAATTCTTCTTCATGTTAATTATAATCACATTGATTGCGTATAAGTATTCTCTAATGGGCATGTCTCATATTAAATCAAGAAAAGAAAGTTATTTAATATCTTGGTCTTTTTGTAGGATATGTTAAAGTTTACAAGAGTCCCCCAAACTATCTCAAACTCTCAATATTCTAGGGATTAAAGCAATATATATAATTACAATCAAGAGTGTGATGAGATGAATGTGTTGTCTTCACTTTTAGTTAAAAGTTTTAATTTTCGGAGGAAAACTTATGGACAACTATTGTGTATCAATTAAAAATTTCCTCCTCAGCCGGAGGGGGAACCGACTTAGGGGAGGAAATTCACCCCAAACCGGATTTTGTTTGCTATGCTCTTCTATATTAAGTTGTTCTAGACAAAAAGATGAGCCCCTTGTCCTCACGTCCACTCTTAAGGATCTCCCATCCACGAGTCCTAAAAAAGATACCGATTAGAAACGAAATAGTATGATACATTATCATTTAGTGAACCAACATATTAAGTAT